TCGACTCTAGTAAAAGGGGACCATTAATGCAACCATCTCTCTAAAAGATTAAGATTAATCATTTTGAGATATGGAATGGTGAACTGTAGTCACTGAGTTCAATAGCACTTAACTAACTATTTGTAATTCTTTGGTCTTGGTGTGTTGTTTCATTGAAGAGTGGTTATATGTATTAGACTAGAGGAGAATTAATGTTGGAATAATCTCTCGCGACAAGGCCTAAAGGACCGAGTCCCAGCCACTCACGCGCCCTGATCGAGGACGCCCAACCAACTCATGGTTACGATCCACTATTACACATCACAATAATACTAAATTAAAAGGGAGACTCGGCCCCTCATGGAAACCAATGTTTCCCATGAGCTTAGCCACGCATCTGACACTCCTAACCCTAACTCAATCTAGGGAGTGCTATAACCGACGGGGAGCCCGCCACCGCTCTGCACCGGTGACCTAATGAGGAGGTGACGCGAACCACGAGTCTACACTGAGCTTTGACGTTGCGAACCGCAAGTCTACAACGAGCATGCTTGCTACACCATCAGCTCACAGTGGTGCATCGGCTTCATCCACACACAAGGTATGAACCTAAGAAATCTTAATCTCTAAATCATAGTTGTTCTAAGGGTGAGCTAGGCAATTAAGATCCTATAAGTTCTAACCCTAGTTTGACATTTTTTATACCGGAAGATCCAAAAATCACCAAAATTCATGAATTTTGGTTCTTCCCCTGTTTTTTTAGAAAAGGGAATATGTATTAATATTCCGGGCGTGGCTAGCGCGCGGACGTCCAGATGATAGCCCTCCGTCTGGTTGCCCATGCCGCTACGCCCGCCCGCCCAAGCCTCGTCTGATGTGCCCGCCCACACCTGTTGTGCCTGCCAACCCACGCACCACTGCCGCTACATGCCCACTTGCTGCTACTGCACATGCTACATGCCGCCATGCGCCCGCACATGCACGTGGGGACCTCTCATGCGAGCGGGACCACCTCCGCCTACCCTCGCTTCCCACGCCTGACACCGAGGCGTGGTAGTAGAGGGCGAGTAGGGAGATGCAACACCCGATCTAGTTTTGAAACATCCAGATGCAACAATTGCAATATATGTTTAAAGACAATGAAACATTTGAAATATGCATCTGAAACACTTGCAAAAATACCTGAAAACACTTGAAACCATTGCAAAACATACGCAACATTCAGATAAAACACTTGCAACATATGTGTGAAAACATATACAACATCCAGATAAACACACTTGCAACATACGTCGAAAAAAAGATGAAACATTGAGAACAGAAGCTTACAACACACATGTACAACCATTACAACATATGCAACATTCCGATCTACTTTTGCAATATCCATCTGAAACAATTGCAACATACCTCTGAAATATCTGAAACACTTAATGTATGCTTGCAACAAGCGTTTTCCACCCTTCTTCCGTGCGACGCAGAGCAGAGCGGGGAACGGTCGGTTCCGGCCACCGGCGGCCGAGGATGGTGGCACGGCTTGGCAGCGACCAGTTGCGCCTGCGCTTGGCCTAGGCCCGGCCAACGACGACCCCCTCTCCTGGCGCCTGACCTGGGCGCGGCGGTGGACGGAGCACAACATGGCGCGGCGGGGACGGAGGCGCCGCTGCAGTCGCCGAGCACCCGCATAGAGCATGGAGGCGGAGGGCGAGGCGCCGACCGGCAACCGGGTCCAGCAACAGTGTTAGTCGGTGGGGCGGCTGGTAGCGTACCTTGGCGAAGGATTCCTCCTCTCTACGGGGACAAAGGTCCCGAGGGGTACGGGGCTGCGCACCGCGGGGATGGCGGCGGCGGTGTGCCGGAGTGGGCCGCAGCGCGAGATAGAGGCGTCGCGGGGGATGGCGGCGGCGGAGTGGGGCGGGCGGACAGCCACACGGCGCAGTGAAGCCGAGACCGCGCGAGGCGGAGTCAGGAATGTTTTTTTTTGAGAGGCGGATGAATATAAGAGAGGCGGGTGAAGCGGAGTGAGATGCCACGTCTGACAGGACGGACGAGCCCGTGTCTAAGCGTTTCTGTAATATTCCAGCCTCTGTATGAATCGATACATATAACTGACTTATTTCTTTTTTTCTTTTTTTTGCTAAGGGTCTGTTCATTTGACCAGGAATGGTCATCCGGAAGAATTCCCAGCTGGATTGATAGTTTAATTTGTATAGCTTTGATCGGTGGGAATAATTCAACTTAACCAAACAAGCCCTAAATGGTATCCTGATTCCTGAACTCTGGTTTCGTCCATGTTATGGACACAGCACTCTGTCGACGGAAGATTGCTATTCTGGCGACGGCTGTCGACGGAAGATTGCCCTTGCGTTCTCTGTTCCATGCGTGGCCACGCCTTGAAAATAGAGGGCAAGTCTCAGTCCCTGCAAAATAAAATTTGTTAAGTCAAGTCGACAGCCGTTGCCAGATCAATCGCGATCTTTCGGGGACACAGCTGTGTTGTGTCTGATGTAGGAAATGTACCCATTAGACCTATGGAAGGCTAAATGGGGAGCCCGGCCGACCGTTGAGGCACAGCCCGACAAGCTAGGGTCGAGCTGGCACACCCATACCGCTTGAACTTCGGCAGCCGGAAGTAGTATTCGAGGCAAAAAAATTTCTCAACCTATTTTTATTCGGCCGTCCCTTAACTAACTCTATAAACGTGAAAACCCATCTATAGTCTTCTCTTTATATAACTAGGAATCCTAATCCAATTATATTTCTCCGATTTCGGATGAATATAAAAATCTTAATCCAAATAGAAAAATATAATAATATGAACAGCTAGGAATCTCGATCTAGTTAGATCTCTCCGACTCCGAGTAACCGGAATAGGAATCTTAATCAAAATGCAAAAGTATAAGAACAAGAATCTAATAAAGAGGAAAGAAGGGTAAAAATTCATTGTTTTGTTTCTTTTCTGATCTTTTTTCACTTTTTTCTGGTTTGTCCGTTTTTACTTGCTCCGAGTTGCTTTACGTTCTGATTTGGACACTTTTTACTTTGGCTGCGAATATATTCTGATTTTTTTCCGTGGCTATTTTCTATAGTACATTCCAATTTTTGTCATGACTGTTTTCTACTTAGCTTCGAGTATGTTCAGATTTTTCTCGTGGTTGTTTTTCACAATAGCTCGACTTTTCTAATTTTGTTTTAATTGTTTTTCATGGTTTTCTCCACCTGTTTTTTTGTATTCTAAAAAAATATAATAAGAGTTAAAAAACAATAACTAAGATACCACTTTCATTTTAATCTTTGACTCTTAAGAAACAAAGATTTTTATCACTAAGTTAATTTAATTTTTGACTCAAACTCATGACTCTACTCACTCTCGTCAAATAATGATATGATATTTTATTCCAATAAATATTGAATCCCGCTGCAATGCACGGGCACGTTTGCTACTATATATAAATCCAAAACCCTATGAACCGATGGACGAGCAGAAAATATATTCATGCCACATCTCATCCCTATCAGCGTGGCTAGGGCCCGGACGTTCGGATGCTAGTCCCATTCGGACGCCCGCGCCTGCCCGCCTAACCCGCATGCTGATAGAGCCTGCCCACATGCAAAACTCCTGCTCTCTTGCCCGCATGCACTTGCACGCCCCCGCAGACCACATGCACATGTTGTGTCTGCACGCCCGCCCCAGCATGCTGATGGTGTGCGTAAAGCTACGTGCCCGTCCCTGCTGATGTGCAGGCAAGTGAGGACCACCCACGCCCGCTTCGCTTGCCGCGCACATGGGGGCCGCTGCGCTCGCTTTCTGCGCCTGTTAATGTTGCAACATGAAGCACTTCTACAATATACATCTGAAACAGGTGAAACATTTGCAACAGACACTTGCAACATATATGGAAACGATTTAAATAGATGCTTTCAATATATGTGTATAGCCACTGAAACATATGCAACATCTAAATCAAAACACTTCCAACATACGTCTAGAAATAGATGAAACTATTGAACAAACGTTTACAACATGCCTCTGAAACACTTGCAACATTCTCCGATCTACTTTTGCAACTTCCATATGAAACTATTGCAACATGCTTCTGAAACATCTGAAACAATTGAAATGTACATTTGCAACATATGAGGAGAGAGTCCTGGGTCGGTCGATTCCGGCCGATGGGGTGGGAGTCGGCGGCGAGCGACTGCGCGCGAGCACCAGCATTACCAGTGCCGGGCTTGACTCGGCGGCGACAATGGGGGATGGGAGGCGGGGAGCGCCATGGCCGCCGGGGTAGGGGGAGCTCGGTCGCTGGGGTGAGAGAGGGCGCCGCGCCAAGGTGAGGGAGAGCCACCGACTCCCTTGCAACACCACCACGCCACACCTCCATGGATAACGCTCGTGCTCCATGGATTTGTAATGGTATTATCGCATCCCTATGTGCCGACATGCATACGAGCGTGCTCGGGTGCCTTCAGCCCATCGCCCAAGTTTGCATTTTACTAAGAAGCATTTTGATCCGGTCGATGGCTTCTTCATGTCGCATCCACACAGCACGCGTGCAGCGTGCGGTCCACTAGCTAGCCGGTTTCCATTTGCAACTAATCAAGTGACCACTCAGTAGCCAAAGTGCTGTGGCACGATGCATGCAATCAGTCAGTGCCAGGTGGTCACTCCATTTAGCCAAGAGCTACTCCCTCAGTGTCACCAGCACTATATAAGCACCACCAGCCTTAGGAGAGGGCAACACAGCAGCAGCCTCACAAGTACAAAGTGTGTAATCAAACTGATTTACACACTAGTGGAGCTAGTAGTAGAGGTTAATCACCAATGATGAGGCCACTCCTTGATTCGCTTGCTCTGATTTTTGTGATTGCCGGTGTCGCGCACGGCGCGGGGGAGTGCGGGGGAGCCTCCGCTGACAGGGTGGCACTAAGGCTGGCGCCATGCATCTCGGCCGCCGACGAGCAGCTGCTGCTCGGCCGTGCACGCCATCGGGCAGAGCCCCAGCTGCCTCTGCGCCGTCATGCTGTCCGGCACCGCCAGGGCTGCCGGGATCAAGCCGGAGGTCGCCATTACCATCCCCAAGCGCTGCAACATGGCCGATCGCCCCGTCGGCTACAAGTGCGGAGGTACGTCACGTGTACATGCATATTTCAAGAATATGTATATCCATGTAGGTGTGGATCCTACAAACTGTGAACAGTATACTACTCCCTCCATCAAAAAGACGTTTACGTTTTGTTCATTTCTAAAACAACGATATTTTTAGGACGGAGGGAGTATACATTTGTGCATTCGTTCTCACCTGAGTTTGTTTGACTTTCACATATTACACGCTGCCCTGACCACATCGTCAAGGAGACCGTACGTGTGCCAGGGATTAATAACAAGGTGATGAATGCCATGCAAGGCGTTGTGTTGGAAAAATCGAATCCTCCGCTAGAATAAATAAGCACACGTGGACGACGGGCTCTTGCTGTATCACTACTGGACTTTGCTTGTGTTGTATCTCAAAAATAATAAACATGTTCCGTTTCTCTAATATAATAAGAAAAAACTGTATTGCTTGTTAAGCTCATTGCACTATACCATGACACTAGAAAAGGGCAGATTTGGTATCACGCGCCAAAGATCCTCCCATCACAGCACACTATCTGACGGGACTGACATTACAGCAAGCATAAATTTAGACATCAAACAGATTTATCGACCAACGTAATCTTTATCGACCGACGACAGTCTGTTGATTCAATATTCACCATTTTTGCTAAGATAATGAACCGGGCCAGCCATTTTTGCTTTGGCACGCAGATGAACCATCAAGTCGACCATAATATCAAAATACAGGTGATGGAAAGAAACCAGTCTCAAGAAAGGTCAACAAAGTTTCAGCTATTTCAGCCTCTACTTTTTTCCATATCACACTACAATAGTACAGGTTAATTTGTAGCATCCGGTTTTAAGAACAAAACCAGATACACACTATATGTGAGCCCAGAAAGTCAAATCTTATATATATCTACAAATAAGAATAATATCAATAGACAATGCTTAAATACATAACGTATTAGTGTAAAGAATATAACCTCAGAGTATAGACAGCGGAAAGACAACTCCGATCTTCAGGCGAAGACTCTAAATCCACAGGGACAACTGACTGGTTGATCACAAGCCTAATTCCTCCAAACTCTAGCAATCTGGTACCAATCCGGGATTTTTCCAAATATGTGTAAAATGAAGCAAGCATAAGTACATGCCGTACTCAACAAATATAACATGGGGTTCATGAGGCTCAAAAGGCTGACACTGGTTTAACTGTAATTAGCTTTTAATGAGTCATCTTTTAGCAATTGAGTAGCAACAAGTTTATTCACAAGCCCATAAACATATGATCAGGTAAACATGAATAATGAATAGCATAAACAGTAATCATTAATAAGCATCTTTATCATTAGTATCATCAGTATTCATCATCATTAACCATTAGTGATCATCTATTCCGTAAATGTTCCAAGGCCGCTCGTGACCGTGAGCACGACTGATATACCAGTTTTACAATCTGCAGAGGTTGTACAATTTCACTGTGAGTCGTGATTTACCCTTTGACCCGAGGTAGCTAATCTCTTGACCCACTTTCAAGGAATGTCGGCAAGGTTCACTATGAAGCCTTTCAAAGGTTCGTCTAACAAGTTAGGGCTATTAGATTCACTTGGCAAACAGATGTAGAGCCCCCCTTCCCGATGGCACAATGACGCGCAACCTATACTTAAGGGGACAGAGGCCACACTATACCTGATTCGTCAAGCCATTCTTACGCAATAAAAGTAACCACTAATAAGCTAGAAAATGTCATCGTATTGAGCTAAAGCCAGAGCCAGATAGCCCTCACAGTTGTACTGTAAGTCCCGAATAATCACTTACAGATAAGTCCTTAGGGAGAGGAATCTAGAGCACCATAAAACTGCCCAATGCTCTAGCCCCCTTGTTCCATGTTGCTAAAAACATGTTTTAGTGTTTATTGCATATACCATTAGTCAAGTTATAAGATCATGACTTTAGTTGAGCACTAGCATCATACTACCCAATGCAATTTTCTATAGGTGACAAGGCACAAGATATCAAATATCTAGGATATATTTATTGGCAACAAGGTAAACACATGCAATATGAATTAAGTGATTAAAGGTGAATAGGTAACAAGGATGATCACATGCTATACTTGCCTTAAAACACCTATCCTTCGGTAAGCTTTAATCTTCAACGTTCTTCTTCTTCTTCTTGAGCACCACGTATATCTCACCGACTGGACTTAATCCTAAAGCATCACACAAGCATCCATACAATCATACACGAAGCAACCAATAGAACTAAATCAGAACAGTACACCAATCATAGAAAAATAAGTGAAAGAGTTTGAACTACGATCCTACGCATCGCTATGAACACACAGATGCGAAGAGCACGCTAATCGGAGCTACGGTTGTAAAGAAACGAATGCATGGTTTTATAAAAGAAAAGAGAAGACTATAAGCTTGATTTATGTTAATTAGGAAAAACTATGTGAGTAGCATTAATTTAGATTAGACAAATTATATTTTAATATAAAAACTGAGTTGAGGTTAATCATATTTTATCTTATAAATATTATCACATAATTTGTTAAACAAGTTAAATTTTATCTTTGCAAAAGAAAAGAAAGATGTGAGAGCATCTAAATGAGTTTTATATGACCATGTTTAGCCTAAACAAAAAACACATATTTAATCTGACGTTGATCAAGTTAACAGTTACTTACAAAAGATCGATACTATCCTATTTTGATTTTATTTAAAAAAACTTGTTTGCATAAACATTAATCAATTTAATATTTTAAATTATAAAATTCACAAGTATAGCACATGAAGACGTCAGTACTAGTACGTAGATTAAGCCAACAAAAATCTAACGTAATTTGAATGGACTGACATGAGGCCACGTCCAATTAAGATCAGTGCTTGTGAGTAGAAAAAGTACGTCCAGCACTTGGATAAATTTAGCAAAAAAATATTGAACTTGTATGGAGCTGGAATAGGCCGACTAAAAATTGCTAACAAATAATATGATCACGATCTACTCTAGGAATAGATTGTAAGGATGCAGACGGCGATTGAGTGTGTGATTTGTAGATAGCTAGTATACTCACATGTAAACGGTGGGCAGTTGTGCTCCGCTCATATGCAGATTTGCACGTAAGCATGCATCTGCATGTGTGCTTGCTATGGCGAGAATAGAGGCATGAGCCTGGCTTGCTTGATGATGGGCAGCAGCTTGCAAGGACGACGCTGGTGCCCAGAGGTGGATGGCCGGCGCGTAGAACAGCAAGCGACGGCGACATGCAGAAACTGATTTCCTTGCAAGCAGACAGATACACCATAATGAAATAAGCGAGTGCAGACTGCAGAGAACACAAAGACCTGATAGAAAAAGGAAAGGTAGCAACAAGAGGCATTCTCACTGGAGGCAGATGAACAATGGTGACCAACAGGGCTCTGACTGGCGGCCGGCACGACGATTCCAAGCCGGCAACGAACCGGTGCCGAGGAGACGAGAACGCTGACATGGCAGCTTGATGAAGCTTCTTCTCAAGAAGGTTTTCTCAGACCTTGGTTTCGGCGTTGCTGAAACATGGTTCACGGTCGGCAATGAGTAGCAGATTGCATGGCCACGGAGCAACGACAGGATGTAGCCACGAGTTAGAGAACGGCAGGGACGGCGGCGGACTTACTTGTTGCCGAGGAGAGTATGGCCGGGCTGGACAGCGCGGCGGCGACGGCGAGAGAAGACGGAGAAAAATCTAATTTACTACACGAGAGACTTTCCAAACTAGGAGCTCCCCTTACGGTAGTTTTGGTGTGCTTTGCCTAAGGGGTTGGTACATATATATAGGGAGAAAAACTCCTCACCTCCACGTCAACTAGCGATACGGTACTCATTGACGTTGCACTATCCACCTGCACTAATGGGCCTAAATAAACATTAAAGACTATTAGTAAATAAAGACATGTGCCTTTAAGATTTATTAGGATTATTGCACATAGGCTTTGAGCATTGGAAAAAATGAGAGATTTATTATTTTTGGAATTAATTAATTTCATAGATAAAATAATTCTAGAAAAGTCCAAAATTGATATTTAAGTTACGAAAAATACTCCGAGACCTTCGAAAATTTGGAGAAAATTCCCAGAGACCCTTTGGAACATGATGAACCCAAATAAAGTATTTCGAGCTCATAAAAATATTGTTGGGAACTTGGAACATAAAGATTAAGGTGAAGGAGGTAGGAATTAAATTCTAGAAAGAAGCTGAAAAATTCCTAAAGATAGATATTCGTCTCCTAAACGTATAAAAAACATACATTTTGCACATAGAAACACGAGGTGCGACCGGCATGAATGCAACAAACACGTTTCTACCTTATGATAAATTTTAAATTAATGAAATTTTTTATTTTTCTATGTTTTCGTGTGCAAAAAATTCACAAATAAATCATTTTAACTCTATTTTCAAAAGTGGCAAATTTTGGGGTGTTACATAATTTGAGGCGGGCAAAAAGAGTTTTGAGGTGCAGACGCGGAGACACCTTTCCCATAGCATCTGTATAGACCCAGATTTACACATGTGGTCAACGCTCACCTCTGCAATTGATATTTGAAAATAAGGAGTTTTGGATTGGGATTAGAGTAGTTTAATATATTAGGGACCTAAATATGTAATTCCATAATTTCGGGATTTCGGGGAGAATATTGTGATAGTTTAGAGATCGCTCGTGTAATTATAAGCTAAGGATGCATATGTTGGTTTCACATTGAAGCACCACATCAGCTAATGACTTGTGATGTGGCTATTTTGGACCGTGATTGGGGTACTTAAATAGTATCAGGACTTTTTAAGGGTCAGCAGGGACCAGTCAGGCCGCTACTTAATTTTTATGTATATATGAAAGGGAATATTTACAATTTACAAGGCTTGTAAAGCCCAAACAGGGGGGAAAAACTGTTTGATCTTTAGATATGCAATTTCATAGTTCAAGGATCTGGATGAAAATGACATAATAGTTTAGGGATTACTAGTGTAATTTACTCTTTATTATATGGCTAAAAAATTGAATTCAACAAAGGGAGGTGCTACGTCAGCAGCTTTGGATTGAATAATCTCACTTTGTTTGAGATATCAGGTAGTCAATCAATTACAGATGGTCATTATGGAGATTTCATATTTTTTCTATTCTACTAGAAAACTAGAAGAAGCCATTTTACCAAATGCTTTTCTAAAAAGCTTTAGCTCTACCGAAGAAACTGCTTCTGTAGAGAAGCCAGAGTCATTTTAAAATAGTTATCAATATGCTTACATATATATTTTATTGAGGTTAGCACTCTTGGTTCCTCCTAGATCTCACACTAAACTGCACCGTTGATCTTGAGCACCGTAGTGTATGCCTAAACGAAGGGGAAGCTAGAATTTTATGTCACCGAATCAGCGGAGTGACTCCTGAAGTTGCAATGCTATTTTATTGATTAGAAAGAGAGATTTAGAAATTTTAATGAGGAGATTCTAGTGGGAATAAGAAAAGCTAGTGGGCTTAGCCGACCACAATAGAATTATGTACTCCCTCCATTCCAAATTATATAACGTTTTGACTTTTCTATATACACTAAGCAATGTATTTAGAAAAGTCAAAATATCTTATAATTTGCAACAAAGGAAGTAGCTCTCTACTTAAATGATTGTTTATGCCATAGTAGCGCTAAGAGTGCAGCCTGCATACAAAAATCATCATTTTTAATACCACACAATGATAAGACTATTTTATACCATATATGTAATGTAACGGTGCATTTAGCAAAACTATTTTTGGTAGGCTTTGGTCAAAGAATATTTTTATTTAAGATAAAACTAAAATAACATAAACTCTTAGAACCAGTAGAGTATGACAAGTGGCGTTCTTTTAATTGTTATTATGAAATGTTCTTTTCCATGAAGCACACATAACACATACCGATCAATCTGTCTCGACTTGACAAGAAATATTCTCTTTTCCAAACAGGTTACAGGTCCACATCATTAAGGTGTGGTAAGACATTGTTGCAGAAACACCACTGCACATTAGTGAAACTGAAAGTTGAAGAGCTCAAGGGGGGCGACTGTGTTTTGCTAGTCAACGGCTAAGTAAATATATCAGACAACCAACTCAGCTCACGGATCTGGCCAAGCAAAGACTTGCTTTGCAATGTCCCAAACTCCCAGTTGACTATGTTCATGCCTAGCTGATATCCCCATGTTCCCATCTCTAGGTGCGCGGAGGTTGCACAATTCCTCCGAGCATTAGCATCACTAATCACTAGCTGCTACCACAGAGACAAACACACTGGAGTGTCTAGGAAAGACGGGAAGCAATGGCTGACCTGGCAGTGAGCTTGGCCAAATCGGTGGTGGAGGGGGCTGTGACCAAGACCCTGGCGGCGATTGAGGAGGAGGCAACGCTGCGGCAGAGCACGCAGAACGACCTGGCGTTCATCACCGGTGAGTTCCAGATGATGCAGTCCTTCCTCAATGTCGCAGATGAGGAGCGCGCCAGGAACAACGTGGTGAGGACCTGGGTGAGACAGGTCCGTGACCTCGCATACAACGTGGAGGACTGCATCGAGTATGTGATCCACCTTGACAAGGCGTCAGACTGCCACTGCCGCTGCCTCCCAGGCTTCATCAGGCCAGAGCTGCCGCTGGACAAGGCAGTCGCCGAGATAAAGCTGCTCAAGGGCAGGGTTGAGGAGGTGAGCCTTAGGAACATGCGCTACAACCTCATTAGTGATTCAGGTTCCAAGCCCGTCACGCAGCAACAGTTGGTGCCTGGTGCTTCTGTCGGTGCCACAACATTTGACATGCTCGTCAAAGCAAGAGATACCACAAAGATGCAACGAGGATTAGGAGATCTGACCAAGTTGTTGATCACCAAGAAACCTGGTGGAGACCTTGGAGTGATCTCAGTGTGGGCAGCAGGTGGCAATGCTGATACCACACCCATCATCAGGGAGGCTTATGGCAAACCAGAAATATGTGACAGCTTCAGATGCCGTGGCTGGGCAAAGCTGTCGCACCCTTTCAATCCCCATGAGTTCCAGCGGAGCTTGCTGATTCAGTTCCACACAAACTCATGCCTACAAAAGAAATCGGGTGTAGACGTTGGTACCCTCAAGAGATTGGAAGTGGCTGCAGAAGGCGAACTTATTGAAGAGTTCATGGAGCAAATGAAGGAGAGGTACCTGATTATCCTGGAAAACGTTTCCAGTATGGTAGAGTGGGACACCGTCAGAGCTTACCTGCCTGAAGAGAAAAATCACAGCTGGGTCATCATCTCTACTCAGCAATCTGAAGTCGCTAGGCTGTGTGTTGGAGATCCATGGCAAGTGTTTGAGCTTAAGCAGTCCTCAGCCGAACACTCTGTATGTGTCTTCTTCAGGGAGGTAAGCAGCTGAAACACATTCGAATAACTTTCTGGAAAAAAATGGTCTTTTGCTCTTATAGTTTTGATCATTAAATATTCTAATCATATGCTAGAAATATTAATTTCAAATTATTGATAGATATAGAAGTACTTTGATTAAAAATGTACAGTAGCAGTTCTACTTATTTTGCTCATCACCAGTGAAGGGCTGGCTGTGCAAACAAAACGAAAATGTGCAGACAATGCTAGTCATTGGTATATTTATCATTAACAAAAGCTCCCCCCGCCCCTGCACACACACACAATGAGACTGATTCCCCATAGTCCCCACATAGGGAATAACGGAAATAGGTTTAGGAGAAAGTAGTGGAATAAATTCTTATATTTGTTCAGTCAAATCATCAAATCCAAACTCATAATGTAATACTTGGCACAGGATTCAGAAACTGTGCCATCCCTCCAATGTTTGTTGCATGTTACATTAATTCTCTCCTTGACCACCCTTCTTAAATTTTCTATATTTTCAGGGTTCTCAAGGCGACGGAGATAAAAGCAAGCAAACCACTATGGTGATGGCTAACAATAATGAGGCATCATCATCAATGGGTGTCCAAAACAACACTGATATGTGTATTGGTCGATTCCCCCTAGTTAAAGTACGTGATTCACAGATGAAAGATCTCCGTGGCTATTTAGCCAGGGCGTGTGTTAATGGTGTTCCTGTGATATCCGTGTGGGGGATAGCTGGTGTTGGGAAATCAGCTCTAGTCAGGAACTTATACTACGACATAATGTATGACAGTAGCAACAGAATATTTACCATGTACAGTTGGGTGGATGTATCACATCCATTCAATTTAAGGAACTTGGCTTGGAGCTTACTTTCACAACTTCAGTCAGATTCTCCTCAGCAAAATGGAATCAGCAATCCCATTCAAGAGTGTCATGAGCTTCTGGAGAAGCATCGCTGCCTTGTCATTATAGATGGTTTGCAATCCACAGAAGAGTGGGATCTAATACGACATTACTTGGTATCTACACATTGTAGAAGCATTATCGTTGTGATTACGACTGAAGCAAGCATAGCCATACATTGTGCAAATCGAGAAGAGGCCATGTACAATGTCAAAAGTCTAGAAGACGATGAAGCACGTGATCTCTTCAAAAAGAAGGTGTGTTTTCTTGCAAGATACTTGCATATTCTCTTGGTCTTGCTAAATCATTTCTCAGATGCATCTTGATGCTCAAATCTATGATTTTTCTTCTTTTCCCCCTCTAGGAGATTAAACTGTGTTTTGCAAAACATGAAAAATGGTGTGAACATTTTTTCTTTTGCATCAAAGTAGTTTTATCCAAGCTTTTTTTTTCTCTGTTGCTACTATGCTCATCCAAAATTCTTAAAATACACAGAATCATCTTATCCAAGTCTTCTATAGTAAGCTTAACAAAACTCCTTATCCAAATGGTATCATAAAAATTCAGAACAATTCTTGGACCATGAGTACAATTTTTTTCTATTAACGAACTATATGTTTAGTAGTATAGATTTTATAAACAATAGACCATATTACAAGCATACTATCAATATAGATATGTCGTAATATTTCAACAAAAAATTGTATATTTTTCTAAATAAAAACTTACAGATTATAACAAACAACAAGCTGCAATCCACAATTTGAAAGATAAAACAAACAGATCTTGATGCACATGTATTTTTTTCAATTTTCAATACATGAGTTTATGCATGTTAACAGCACAAGCTTAAACTAAATCTAAAGTGTGATTGATTGATCTACTAATTTAGCTTCTTTTCAATAATACAGGTAGGCACATTTCCAGATTCGTCCGCTTTAAGGGATTCTAAAGATCCGGAGCTTCGAAAACTTATTTCCATGTGTGGCGGACTTCCCAAAGTAATAGTTGCTGTAGCCAACTTTTTGGCACCCATGACAGTCAGCTGGATGAAAACCGCAATGAATCTTAGTGACAGATTTATGCATGATCTGGAGACTAAACCGGAATTTGATAACCTGCGTGGACTATTTGGTTGGATGCATTCCTACTTCCGTACTTGCCCAGATTATCTCAAGCCATGTATCCTCTACCTGTCCATTTTCCCGCAAGGCCAAAGCATTCGACGGAGGCGTCTAGTGAGGCGGTGGATCGCAGAGGGTTACTCGAGGGACACGTCCAACAGGTCAGCTGAGGAGAATGGGGAGAAATTCTTCTAGATGCTCCTTGATCTGAGTATCATCCAGCAGACTCCACATTCAGTCACCACTGCAGATACAAGAACGGTCATGTGCCAAATCAATGGCTTCTTCCGCGAGTACATCATATCAAGGCAAAAGGATGAGGACCTTGTCTTCGAACTGGAGGGCAGGTGCATATTGACCAGTCAACGCACAGGACGGCACCTTGTCATAAAGGATAGCTGGGACAGAGACAAGATCGTGTTCAGTAGTATTGACTTCTCAAGGCTACGCTCCCTCACTGTGTTTGGACAGTGGAAGCCCTTCTTCATCAGTGACACTATGAGGGTGCTCCGGGTGCTTGATCTCGAGAATGCAACAGGTGTGACATATAAATACCTGGAGCAGATGCTGAAGCTGCTTCCTCGCCTCAAGTTGCTCTCTCTAAGAGGAATAAGAGAGATCTGCCATCTGCCAAGTTCATTTGCTGCTCTGAGACAACTTGAAACTCTGGATGTCAGGGACACCTCCATAGTCACTTTGCCACCATCCATCACCAAACTTACCAAGCTGCAATACATCCGTGCTGGCACAGCCAAGGAACCATCAGTAGCATGTGCTCATTTGTCATGGTTGCCTTGCTGCCGCAGAGCTTGTCCTGTAGGTGGTGTTCAGGTGCCTGCAGGGATTGAGGAACTTACATCCTTGCACACTCTTGGTGCCGTCAATGTTGGTTTTTCAGGGGGCAACACCATCCTGAAAGAGCTCAAGAAGCTCACCCAATTGCACAAGCTCGAAGTGACCGGCGTCAACAAGAAAAACAGCAAAGAGTTCTGTTCTACCATCTCAGACCATGTTCATTTGGAATCCTTATCAGTTTGGCTCTGCATGGGCAATAATGAACCATGTTTGAATGACATGTTCTGGCCTCTGCAGAAACATCTGGAAAAACTTCAAAGCCTTAAACTATATGGTCTTGCAAAAGTGGTGCCACCATGGATCAAAGATCTTCCTAAACTCACAAAGTTACATGTGAATATGGCAATATCAAAAAATGTTAACATAAGCGAAGTTCTTGGGGAAATAAAAGGACTATGTATTCTACGTCTTGATATCAGGCCACTTGAAGATGGTGATGGTGACCTTAACTTTTGTGTCAAGGTGAATGGAGTAGAGCAGCGCAGTTATTTGAACGTCAGGATACTTGAGATTGCTTGTAACTCTGAGTTAAATGTATCCTTTGGATCATTAGCAATGGAAAATCTTGAGCTGCTGACAGCTAAATGCTGTACTGGGTCGGCAGTGAAGTTTGCTGAGCTAAAGAGTCTGTCTAAAGGAAAACTCAAGGAGGTGTGGTATTTGGGTTCCCTTGACAACAAAGTTAAGGTGGACATGGAGAATCAACTTAACCAGCATCCTAAGACACCTGCTTTGAAACTGGAGGAACCATGTTCGTCCTGATGCATGCTGACAATCTGTCTGCTGTTTGCTGATTCTGGCACCAGAGCAGGATCAGGACTAAATGACTGGTGCTTTTCATTTATACCTTCCCGCGTCCTTTTCCTGCACTCTAGACATTTTGAACTGAAACATCTGCGTCCATGGCAGTGTAAAGATAATTGTTGCTTCTTCGATGTCAAAATGTACATGGAGAAAAATAAGGAGTTAACATATATAGCTAAAATGCTAAATTGACTCGAGTTTGTTTACTCTGTACTGCAAACGTTATATGCATCTGTGGCATATAATGGACCTGTGCATTGACATCGTAATTCAATTATCTTGCTTTCATTTTGTGCTTGTTTCCCCCTGATTCATTGGGTGATATTGTGTAGATGTTGTCTCTCATAGTCTCGTATTATTGGTTCATGTTAATTCCAGGTCTCATTGAGTCGATTTGTCGATGTGCCTAAAGTCTTGACCAGATCTTTCTCCATTAGAGTACACTATCTCTCTCCTGTGCTAGGTACTTGTCAGCAACATGGGTTCTACAGCTGAAGCCGGTGCCGACCAAGGCGTCACGCACGACTAAAACCCTGAAGATGGGCCGAGAAGGAGCACAAGGGCGCGCCGGCCCAACACACGCGTCCAAGGCCCGGCGTGGGCATGAAGACAAGCAGCTGGCAAGAGAGCCGTAAGCTAGTGGTATAAGGATAGAGCGATGGTGAGGAGAGGGAATTAACAAAGAATTGAACCCTGTTTTGTAACAATCACTCCTCTGTTCTATGACTCTTCCTCCGAACTGAATCCCAACTACTGCTTGCTATCCTATTCTTCCTCTCTTGTATGCTGGTGCTAACAGTGCTATGCACATATGTTTTGTGCTAGTCAGTATGGAGGCTAGAAAGGATCCTCTAATTAGTAATAGTACGATTGCTAAAAAATCCAATAACCTAAACGGGACATCTTCAAAATGATTATATGTTTATATTCTGTACCATTCGTTTAGAACAAGTCACAATTATCATATCAACTGATGCACAAAATCTTATGCCCATGACAAAAATCTGAATTTTAACTTGCACTAGAAGTCTTGGGTTTCAACCAACCTCTTAGTAAATTTAATTTCCAAGGACAAGGCTATCTAGAATCTAGAAATTCCCATCTTTAGACCTCGTCTTACACTGGAGCATTTTAGAACTGGCCCAGTAAATCGCAAGCAATGTGACTCAGAGAAGCAACAAGCAAGGTTGCAAGTTAAGCATCGACAGGAAAACTAGATCTCTACAACAGACCCTCTTATCCACGAAGCACGAAACAGAGGAACAGCTTTGAATCCGCAGATACCTTCTCCTGCTTGCTTTGTAAGAAAAAGAAAAAAGAATTTATTGTACCTTGGGCCAGAAGGACGTGGCAACAGGAACAAGCGACGCGCAGGTGTGGACGCCCTTCCTCTTCAAGCTCAAGCTGCTAGTCTGCTACCGGTTCGAGGTCGATGGCGTGGACTGGGGCTGCAGTGTCGTCGCTTATTGTGCTCGGCGGCGGTGGGGATTCCATGGAGTAGCGAGGAATCTGGGAATCAGGCGGTGAGCTGCATCATTGGCGGGCGCTGGGACTGCGAATTGGGGAACGCCGACCGGTGGCGGGGCCCTGTATTGCCTGGCCTGGGCACCAAGTCCAGCAACGCTGGAAGCGCATGAGCGAAGGACTTGAGACAGCAGAGCACAAAAATGTTTCGTTTTTTTTCGAGGCACAAATGAGAAACAGAATTCCATCGCATTTATCCCCTAAACTTACAACCTATTTTGATTCCAATTAAATTACAAAAATCCTTATTACGATAAGACTATAACATTATTAGGCCGTTTAGGTCTCTTGATTGACTATAGAGGTGGACTATTATTAGTTGGAGTATAAATGATCTATAATTTCCACACAAAAAAGGATTTGGAGACAGATTGAGGATTTTTGTAATCCGGTGGTTGCATTTTTATAATGCAACCCATAATCTGCAGTGTTTTGAGCATCTTCAGATTATTTTATCTGATTACTGTAATTCAGTTGGCATCCAAACAACCTCTTAATTCTTCATGTATTCAGTAAAAAAAAAATGAAGTGACACAAATGCACGTTTCTAAAATCAGAAAATTCATTGGATCACCATACTAGACAATTGTACTGTGACCTGCCACGTAGGTATATCAGCCAAAACATCCTGATATATATATGTACTATTACTAATGTACGCCTCACAAGATGATTCTACTGTATATGTACTATATAACTCAAGAATATATTCACAAGACAGGAGTCACGGCAAACCACATCCTTTCAGGTTCGACTGAAACTTTACTGTAAACTTAAATTCTTGATATATTCATTAATGACTTGTTTGGAACAAAGGAATACAAAATAGAGGAACGAGGAAAAATACAGGAATATAAAATGAATGAATGTGCAAAACAGAGGATGAAAAAAACACAGGAATGCGAACACATGAACCAGATGATGGATGAATAGGGTAAAACTCATATTCTAATAATGTGTGGACACAATGATATAGTAATTAAGAGTTTGAAATAATGTACAGACTTTTCCTTCGTTTCACCTCCATTCTTAAATGGGGCCTTGTTTGAAATTCCCAATCTCCAGAGAGAGAGAGAGAGAGAGAGAGAGAGAGAGAGAGAGAGAAACAGAGAGAAGAAATTGATTCTGCCACTCACTCTCTCAGGATTCCTCATCAGCCGGTGGTGGATTGTCAAAAACAACCATCACATTCACCTCATCAACCACATTACCCTCCTTCTCAATGAACACGTCTCTAGTTATATCCATAGCAGCAAGACCTCCATCTACTCGGGTGCTCAGCACGGTGATCTCCTTGTGGTGATTGTTTGGCAGTGCATTGACCTGTGCTTGCATTGTTATGGTGACACTGCACTTGGATCCTGGTGGGACAATGCCCTTGTCTGGCTCTATGCGGAAGCGGCATGACCTTGCCTTTGTCATGAAGGCAATGTAATCATCCGTATCGTTGGTCAGCTCAATTGAGTGTGATATCTGCAGGTCAAGTTCAAAGGGAAAGTGTGTTTCCAGCGGCTCAATCCCAAGCATGTCCTCCAGGCAAGGGATTTCCTGTGATGGAGAAATTAAAGATGCATTAGCTTTACCACAGCCTATCAAAGCTTTAGCTCTCTTGAGTTTCAGGGAGCACATATGGAAGCTTACCTGGAAATGGTGTCAAGGGCGGTATGCGGCAGGGACGCCGGGCCTCGACTACGGAGCTCGTACCTCCGCTCCGTGGTAAACACGACGGGGTTATGCCCCCACGTCGCTCAACACTCGCCGGGTTTTGCCCCCAGGCTCGTGGCTTAGAGAAGAGGCAGGAGATTAGATTGAATGATTCTTGCTTAATCTCTCCATGAGCGGTTACAGGAATATATGGCCTCCGGCCCAACCACTCTTTCTAAACTTAAGGACTGCCAAAGGAAAATAACAAAACAAGGAAACAACCAATTACTCTCTTCCTTCTAATCTTAGCCACTTGGCGTGATCTCCTGCGACTTCAGCGTCTTTGCTTTCGATCAAGAATGGCGCAAGACATCGCGTGCCCTGCGATGCAGCGTGTACGCGTGTGCCCGTGACATTACATCTCTCCCCTCCTCAAGAGGCAGCTCGTCCTCGAGCTGAAATTGGGGGTATCGGGTGCGGAGCGAGTCGACATCCTCCCGAGTTTCTTTGGTGGCGACGCCCCTTCCATCGAGCGAGGACTGGCGCACTCCGCGCATAAGCGTGACTTTGACAGCCCGCTCCGGCTCTGGAGCGATCGCGCCATGGCGAAACGAGGAGGGAGGGCTGGTGGTTCCAATGGTGGGTTGCCATGGAATTTCTTGAGCAGCCCAGCGTGGAAAACATCGTGGGGCGAGATTGAGGAGGCGGGGCAGGCGGATCGCGACGTCGTTGATGAGCTCGACGACAGCGGTATGGCCCGTAGAAGCGAGGCTTGAGCTTTCGGCCGATGCTTGGGGCATGGATGCGATGGGTCCGACGAAGTCGAAGCGGGAGACCAGTCGCCGGCCTGGTAGGTGACCTCGCGGTGGAGATGGTCGTAGTGGCGCTTCTGTATGGCCTGAGCCTGCTCGAGCCGGTGCCGAATGTCCTCCAGGAACTCCTTGCGTTCCTCCAGCGTGTGGGCCACCGCCGGCACCCTGGAGTCACCATGCGCGTAGGTGCGCAGGGATGGTGGATCGCGACCGTAGACGACGCGGAACGGCGTGTCGCGCAACGACGACTGGAAGGCGGTGTTGAAGACGTACTCCGCCCATGGAAGCCAGCGGAGCCAGTCGCGTGGACGATCACCTGTCAAGCATCGAAGGTACATGATGATGACTTTGTTAGCGGACTCCGATTGCCCATCCGACTGCGGGTGGAAAGCCGTCGTCATCCGCAGCTTGGTGCCACTCAAGCGCATCAGCTCGTCCCAGAAATTGGAAGTGAACACGGAGTCGCGGTCGGAGACGATGGACTGCGGAATGCCGTGCAGCCGAACGATTTCGGAGAAGAAGGACTGGGCCACAGTCTCCGCCGAGTACGGGTGCGCCAGGGGTATAAAGTGCGCGTACTTGCTGAAACGGTCCACCACCGTCAAGATGACTGACTTGCCCGTACGCGCGGCAGCGCCTCGACGAAGTCCATGGCGATATCCGACCAAACACCACGTGGCACCGGGAGTGGCAGCAGATCCGGCCGGGTGGAGATGTTCCGCTTGTTGCTTGTTGGCACACCGTATACGCATACGAACAAGGTCCCGCACCACACGTTTCATGTTAGGGAAGTGGAAGTCGCGGCGAGTCGGTGCGGCGTCTGTTGGGCGCCCTCATGGCCCTCCTCATGGACCGCCCGCAGCACCTCCTCCCCGCAGTTAGCGGTGAGTCAGCGGCAGTCTGTACCGTCCGTCGCCGTAGTGGACCAACCCGTCGGTGAAGGCCTGTGGCTGCGACTTGGAGCCGCGGCGGTGATGG